GTCGAAAATGTCTTTGAATGAATAATGAATAACTTCAAATGCAATTACCTTGGGATAAACTTTTGTCCAATTTGGAGGGTTTTTTTTCATTTCGTGAGCAAAGCGACGCATTGTGTGACGTCATCGGCACATAGAATTAAAATGTGTTTAAAATTTGACGGTGTGCACGCGTGCCTCCGATAAACGTGCTTCCAATGTAAGCGCGTGCAGCAGATTTATGAGGGTCCCCCTTCCCCGTTTCCGCTTTCTAAGCTACATTAGTCGTCCAAAAAGTCGATACGAGGCTTTCCATGGATTGCCATGAAAAATTAAGGAGGCGTTAGCTGGACGTGTTAACTGGACGTCTGATCTGTGTGTCCAAAAATCTGACCGGTATCTCTGTTTCTTATTACATGTAGCAAGAACATAGGAGGACCAACGAACATAACAAATAAGAAGACTCGAATGTTAAACTGAAATACCCACTGTTTGGGGAGTGCTGATTAATGCTGATTTTCTACTAAAGTTCTTTCATAATTATTGTCGTTCTTGCTTGTCCTGTCCTGATGCAAGTTGTAATGCTTCTCTGCAGTGCCACCCAAAGATGTGCACATCATCAACGCCACTACCGGAGAAGTTTATAGGGGAGACGTGAACGTCGGACCGGGCACCGACCAGAGCTTCACCTGCCTGGCCACAGACACCAAACCCCCGGCAGAAATCACCTGGACATTCGCTGGAAAGAACACAAGCGGAGAGACGAGGGTAGTTGGGACAAGATTGCATAACACCAGCAGCACGTTTACCGTGCCGTCGTTTCAACCTGGTCAGCGAAGGAATCTAACGTGCACGGCAACTGGGGCGGGAGGGAAGGTGTCTACGGTTATTTTGTTGCTCGGCCACTATGGAAAAACAGGTATTTCTTTGTTTTTCTCTCTGCCAATTCTTTGTGTTTTTGTCTTTGTTTTCCCTAGCCCATGTTGAACTAGCTTTCAAAATTGCTTAATTGGTGGGAAATATCATATTTGATTGTAAGTTAATAGTATCAAGTATTCCATGGTATGATGTCATTCAAGAAAAAATATTGAAGGGTGACGATGGGTTTAAAAGAACAATCGCTTTTGCTTCGAAATATTTTTCGTCCATTCCAATCAAAAGCCGTGCAAAACAATACGGCCCTCCTACCAAGGCCCCAGCAAATTGTTGGCCAGATGACGACCGGTCTTATATTAGGATTTAATTATTATGAATGACCAAGATCATAATATTCATCATAAACTAATTTATTCAGAGCAACTAGCGAGAAAGCATTTTCTCTCTCGTGTAAATATGTGGTATATGTTTATAACAACAATGTACTAGGGGTCTAGCCTAAATGCTCACTAGCAATGGTCATCTTTTATTTTTGAATTTCTATGCCTTGTATTAACGCCCGTTGGCGGAAAGTAGCCTACACAAACGTTGTTGAATGGATGAAAAGTATCATTATGCTTGGTGGAAGCCCTGAGTGATCTAAACTGTAATTGTGTTCAATCTGATAACTTATCTGATATGCATAGGAATATATAGCTGCATTGTCCTGAATATATCAGGTTATGGTATATATGCGTTTGTCCGTCATTTGCTCGTGTCGATGTCCTATGTAAAATGCTGGCAGCTACCCATGTCGGCTTTGCAGTTCTAGTTTTCATTTCAAAGCACACCAGAATCAGCATCCACTTTCTGTCACTTAGGCCAACACTAAAAACGCCGAGCTACTTCCGTACCGAACTATATAGAGACAAGAACCAAGATTTATATTAGGTCTAACAGCGTTTGTATTAATGAGAATCGACTCTAACTTCAGAAAATGTTAACCATTACTTGAAAAAGTGTATTATTGAGACAATGTATTATCTCATTTCGTAACAAGCACTGACAGAATTTAATCCGGAAAATGTGGGTTTTTAGCATACATACATGTACATAACATTGGCAAACTTTGATGAAGTGTTAAAAAAAACTGCAGCAGATTTGCTGAAGAACTTTTGACATAGTGTTTGTGATGTACTGAACCCCACATATGTGCATTAAAAAAATAGAACCCTCTGTTGCTGGAACGAAACTCATTTTACAGCCGGTTTTTGAGTTTCAGCTGATGGCCTACAGGTATACTATATGACTGTACTATAATTGTTGTTATTGTTTAACCTTTTATAACGTTTTAGTGTCTACCCTTGTTGCATGAAGTGGTTTAGGAAGGATATCTGAAGAACACAGATGTCAACTAATAATACTGTATACACTGTACTTTCCTTTTCAGTAAGCAAAACTTCAAAGAAAAACACCAGCTTTTATAAATATTAGTAAATAAAGAAAGACTTGGTTTGAATTGACTCATGAATTTTGCCTATTTGAATCCCAATTCAAACACGTACAATAGACTATTGACCATAAGCTATTGAAGCTTACCCAAAATGTGTTCTGGCAGATTTGCTAAAACCATTTGAGCACCCTGCTCACAAACTACGACAAACTTAACACACACTAGCAAGGTTTTATAAAGGAACACAACTGCGGCGATACTAAATAGGATATACGTAGCCATAACTGGAACATCAATTTTAATTTTGCCTTTGTAGTCAATTTAAGGCATTAAAGTGATTTGATAACTATGGCAGGAATTTCAAACGCATTATCGACTGTCAGACTATTAAACACGTTTTTCTCAATTCATTTTCAGACCCATCAAAACAGAGTCAGTTGACGTTGATCTTAATTGCGGTCGGTGTCACGGTGGCACTCTTGCTGGTTCTTGTTGCGGCCATCGTCTTCTGGAGACACCGAAAGAGTAAGTTCACTGCAAACCCTGTTTTCTGCAATCCCTACTTTAGGTACTGTCACCGTACCACAAACCACTACGTTGACACTGCAAGCCAGTAGCTGCTGCTCTGTTGTTACTGACACCAATGTGGCAAGATTCTGGCAGAGGACCCTCTTCTCTTTTGTGTTGGTTCTCAGGATCTCAGGAATTATTTTGATATACGGTGTAGTGTGCATATGCCGCAAATGTGACAGCTGCCGCAAATTGCGCAGGGTATATACTGATGATACTGCTGATGTACCGCTCTGCAGCTGCTGTACATCTATTGCTCTGCCTCCATGTTGCCATTTTCCACCGTAGCTGCTGAAAACTGCTGCAATTATGTTGATGTTCAACTATTTGCATAAACGTACAACAATAGGGATATGTGTCACCAATCTGGCATATTGACCTACGTAGAAACCTCAAGTTTTCTTTTATAGTGTATGCATCTACACATGACCTTTTTTTGCAATGCTTTTTGTGTCACTTAGCGACAAATACTTGGGACGCCACATATTAACATAATTTTTCAATGAATGTTGGAGTAATCAGAATCTCACATGTGCTTTTACACTACATGGATCAGATCAGTATGGGGTACGGTGAGGTTCGATCGTAGATTAGGGCAAACATCAAGATCAGTTGCAGTGAGTGTGTTGTACCTGTTAGTTCAGCACATGAAGCAACGTTGAAATAATTTTCTTGCGGTATGCTAATAAGTCGAGATTAAAACTAGCATATAGAACAGTATTGTTGATTGTTCAGAATGCATATTTGCGTTTTGAATTCAATTGTTATTTTTTTTTTGATTTATTTACATCGGGAAACAAATTTATCCTGTATAGGCCTCGTGGTGACAGCTTTAGAGATCGCATATGGAGGTGATTTTAGTTTGTAACGAGTTTCTTTTTATGTGGGATAAAGTATACATTGGAGAAAAAAACGAAAGTTCAAACCCGAATTTTGAAATGACTACAGGTGATAAATGAAGGTAATAATAACAGAAACCAATGTAGACTTCTGTTTTTGGTTTGATTGTATTTTTTTTATTCTTATCTACAGATAACATTCCCCGCGATGGAAACCAGTGAGTTAAATATAGTATAAATACTGCTATCGTCAAATGGGTTCTGCTTTGACAATGATTTTGTTGTTGTAAATTAGTACTGCAGTTCAGTTTCTTTTTGCACTTACATGAGAGGTCTTTGCAAAATAATTTCGATGATCTTTATTTCGGAAGATATTATCCAACCTGTATGCACGTTCTGTTCCCACGTTTTATAGAAGCATTATCGCAGCACATTTGAAACGTTCCGTGCTGGAATAAATCCAAATATCAGGTCTTACCGATGACACAATGTTGCAAACGACTACTTCTTTAAAGCCGAAGGAAACAGTGAAATTAATGTGCCTGTATGTTCCCCCAGAACCATTTAGTCTCCACCAAACATCGATGATCTCATGAAATCTGGTGCAAACCTCATTGTTGTAAGATAATTGCACTGAAACTGCTTGAAAAGACTATTAGCCCCCTGCAAAGGGCGGCCCTACAAAAAGACAGGTCTTGTGAGTTTATTTTTTTTTAAATGTACTCATGACGGTTACTTTATATTTATTTCTGATCTATTAGCAGGGTAGCCCGTTCGCATAATTATAATGTGGGGTTCCACGGGGCCCTGGACATAACATTTCAAAGAATATAAGTAACAAGACAAAAACTAGCTATTAAAATGTTTAAAAGTGTATAAAAAATATCAAAACAGATACGAAATCAGATCATATCAAATCATAACCGAATAATCATTAAATGAAAGAGACATGAGCGGGTATACATCATTAACAGTTTATTGTATATGAAAAAAAGACATTGACAAAGGTTCAGATTAAGACAATAGATTTGAGAATAAAATCCAGAATAAGTCTGACATGCATATCAATAAACGAAAAACGAAAAGAATTTAACTGGGAAAGACAGTAAATTAGTACCCTTATTATGTTAAAGATATATAAGAAGCTGCCCTATGCAAGAATGCAGGATTTAGGCGGTGAACAAATGCAACATATCATAATAACATTAATGGTATGCCTCTGAAAGCTTTATTTTATACCGATATTTTGCTAACATGATATTACAGGCCTGCAATTCACTACACACGGACTGGAACCCACGGGCCCACGGCGTCTGTGAGTCCTTGCTTGAACACAGTCGTAGGACCATCAGGTAAACTAAGCTTTGTGCCCGAGTGCCAAAGCTGTTTGTACTTCATGGTGGGATATCCATATCCAAACTGAAACAGAATTGGAAATATCAAACGTACAGGTCCTTGGAATGTTACAATCGAACTATAATGTCCGATCGCCAAAGAACGTTATTGTTTGACGTTGGTTTTGGTGTGTCAGGATGGAAATTGCTTCTTCCTAGAATTAAATTCTAAAAAATATTTTCTCAGTTGACAATACAAAATTAGATCCAGCTGCTCCAAATTGATTGTTAGATATGATGCCTTCCATAGGAAGTTACCCTTTTCGACAGTGAAGTGTATTGCTAATTTGACCATTTAAACACTTTGAAATTATGGCCGTGTTACGAAGATGCCCATTTCAGGACTCTCTTAAAATCATTACAAGATGTGGGAAATATCTACGACAAAAAATGTATAATTGTATAACGCAATTGTACAAAATATACACTAACCGAAAAATTAAATTATACACCCTGTTTCACTTCCGATTTATCTCTAATTTGTATATATTTTTTTAAGTCTTCAAACTCCTTAAAAACGTTACGTGCTTGAGAGGCTTGCCTCACTCCTTGAACCTCAACAGAAAATATTCCCGATTTAGATGATTTTCATGTTTTCTTTTTTTTTGTCTGGCTTTTTTGTTTCAGGCAACAGGGCAGCGGAGACTGTTGTCCTCTCTGACCCCCAGGAGCAAAGAAACGTGCCATCTACCGGCAACCAACAACCAGCCGCCAATGTAAAAGTCATGAATAAACTCCTTAAAGTTGTAAAAAATAATATCACTGATTCGATTTTACTGAAATTTAAATATTAAGTCATTCCCATCTGGGATGTTGAGCTCATGTGGTTGAATAGTCCGAAGACGTTTTATCAACATTTTCTCCATGCTTGTGATAGCCAATTGATTCTTTGCCCTGTAAAACCATATCAGAAATGGAATGTTTAAGCAAGTTTAAGTGTTGACAAATAGGGGTGTCAATATTTTTTTTCAAATGCGATTTTTATAATATTTGCATGAAAACATTTTTTTTCAACGTGCTGCATTTGCTTCAGGTGGTCCATACGTATGCAGACCGCATCACAAACACACCCCCATTGGAAGCCCAGCCCATCCGCATAGTACCTCCTACCCAATACGAAGACATCGACAACCTCCAGATACCATCTCCTGTCGAGACCCCGCCTCTTTTCAGAGACGACGCTACCAGCATGTGGGAGGAGGGGCAGAGTGTAGACGGTCTGGATGAAGAGGGCAGGATGGAATGGGCTCCGCCCCGCCCCCTCCGGGGTAACCCAATCCTTCCTCCGGTACGGGATTGGCAGATGTAGGTATGTGTAACAATTGCATTAATTAAAGGGTGCGATCTAATTGCCAAAAAGTGCGATTTCAAGATCACCAAGCGAACAGCCCAATAAACATGATTTTCAAGCTTGTTTAATGATCTGTGAACTGATAAATACATTGTTTACATTTTACTTCTTATCATGCGTAATCTGTAGATACATTTTTCTTCTTTAAATAACGTTCACTTTGTTTCATTGAGTAGGCTTATTTTACAGTGTTTGTCTGTACATGTATAGTTATTTTGTTTTACTTGAAGAATGAAACGTAGTGGTTTCTTCTACGTTAGTGTTGCATTTGGTTTTAGTCGAAGGACAACATACTTGGAAGTAAAGTCGAAAAGCTTTTTACGTACTATTGACTAAAAATTTATTAAAATTATTTGTAATTTTATTCTGAAGTTAAAGTTCACGGTCGGTATTTTTTTTTTATTTTGAAAATATCACAGACGTTTTATAGGGGTTGTGTCAATATTCAATAAACGTTCCAGTCTCACCCATACAAAATGTAATGAATCCATGACGTAAATTGACGATTCCATTTTATCTTAGAAACTTTACTGTAAATAATGCCACAATTTGCTCAATGACTTAATCTAAAGTATAAACAGTTATGACCTAGTAATATTGTAGAGAGATGATTGTTTGTTATTGTTATAACATACAAGCTCACCAGTATTGGTGGAATATCGGTGTACTTGCAGCAGCGCAGACCATGTAAGTAGCTTTTAGGATCCGAGTGGCGCCAACTAACGATGGGTGCGGCATTTGAAGCCACACAACCATAAACTTTAAAAGACTATGAAGGAAAAACATGCATGCACCTGAGACTAGGCTAAACTTGAACAAATACGTTCTGCTTTATGAACGAAGAGTAATGTGCCCAAGTTGTTAAGAGAAGTATAAACAAGTCTTTTTATTACAAAGTTGGAAGTGAGTTACGTCTCAATAGGCAATAGTTTTATCCAACGAGGGCGCCGCTGTAATCACGCCATCTTCTTGGTACAAATGCGAGCAAAATGTCGTTCATGGATACAGTTTAGCTACTTAACTAACTTCGAACATTTTAACATAGTAAACATGTAAGTTTGAAGTAGAATTCAAGCATGCGTCAATTACTTTGGAAACACGTCTGTTTATACCTACAAAATAGCATTGTTACAGCGCCGTCAATTGTTTAAGAATACGGCTCATTTTGGGACTAAGATGTACGTTTAATAATCTCTACCATACACGTTTTGGTTTTTAAAGAAAGGTTGCTGCAGCTGTTAAACGGTGATGATTTCCTCACACTGAATTTGCCATGTTTAGAACATTCGAACATTATCTCAACTTGTTTCCATTATCCTTTGTGTCTAAAAAAATGTATCTGGCAAAATTATACATCATTTTTTTTAGGATTTGTAGGGTGTTATTTCACAATTCAAATTGCCTTATTCGCCTTTATAATTCAATAATTGGCAAACAAGAATGTGATTATCGACCCCTTATTGTTTTGGGTTCAAAGAAAACACTCGTTCAAAAGAGGCTCTCAATAAATGATTTAGCTATTGATGTTGAAAAAATAATCGATGCTTAAAAATATGCCATAAAAATTGTCTACATGCATAACATTCTTTGACCTGTATAATAGCTTGGAAGAACTTCCCCTTTGAATATCTTGAAGACAGATCAATGTTTCTTTACTTAAAAGGTTGGCATGGTAAATTGGGCTTACCTTGTTTATTATTGTATGATGTAAAAGCGTTTGAAATGTCAAAAGTTAACTATTCTGCAATTTCAGACAGTTTCCTTCAATGTAATACATTGATCAAAAAGTAAAATTAAAAGTGGGTAAAAGATTTATACATGTTTAATTTTTGTAATCTTAATATGTTTGTGTGTGTAGGAATTGACAAATGAATGCTTCTGTAAGGGCTGGGATGGGTGTGTGCCCTGAAGATCCAAGGTAGTCAATGTGAATAAAGCAGTCAATTAACTCAGGTGGTGCAGCTTCTTTGTCCTATTTTTTTCTCTCCTTAATTAATGAAGTTGATCCCAAATTCATCAGAAATAATCCCTTACAAAAATCTTAATGAAAATCCGGAGAGTGAGCAGAGTCTCTAGCCAAATATAATATGGTAAATCCCTGGACACTGTCGCCACTGTTATGCGCTCTCTCTCCCGCGTATTAATGTGAACCGGGCACAGCGATCTTCAACGCACCCGTCGTCACGCAACGTCAAGGCAGCACCAAAGAGGGCAAAGAGTTCTAGCCCTTCCAGTTTGCGACTGGTGGCGACTATGCGTTGAAACCCGACACTTTTTCCCATGCCTGAAGGAGTACTGCCATCCAGCCCATCAGACGGACTGGAAATGACATCGATCGCGTTGGCCCGTTACGTCATTTACTAGAACGTTAATCCGGCGGAGACCGCCCCGGTGTTTTCAGCCAGTTTGACAACGGGACGAGGATCGACTCATTGGCAAGTTTCAAAGGTTTCAACGCCCTCAGCGGTTCTTCAACGGCTCTTATGGGTGCTACCCTGGAATCATCTGCGTTCTCCAGTGTTGCTACTCCACGAATATCCTGCGAGTCATCGACCGCAAATCAAATATGGTTCATTTTTAGTCCCTCGCGTACTACATACCACAAAAGAGGTGCCATGACATTGCACAAAAATATTGCTGCATCTTGTATACAACTAGAAGACATTGAATATTTTGCTTCGGAACTAGTAGGAAATGCTTTGAATGTGCGATGTACATATTAGGCAAAACAGGTGCGCGCGCATTGCACAACCGCCTTAAGATTCCCAAAACGTTGTTACTGGCGTTTACTGGGTGATACCAAGATACTAGAGAGGGGAAGATAGGACAGTCCGCTTAAAAAGTGAAACAGGAAGTACTTGTTGAAGGTCACGATGGGAAAGGGCACCTCGCACGGCAGGTAGGTAAAAACCAGATATTCCCCATGCACTCATCGTGAACAGTTAGTTATGCAAAGCCGCTAAACTAATTTTTTTTTTTTTTTGGGGGGGGGGAAATTATGCAGATATAATACATCTTAAAGCAGATTATTCTCTGATTAATAGCACCATCCCTGTGCTTCATGAGAACATTCCTAAAAGTGTCTTTTGTAAGTGTTATGCTAATGAGCTTTTGTGCAGGTTCAGAGATAAGGGTGGTAATGTGAACAATTTATGCACTTTGCATCTGTTTATTACTTTAGTGTTTATGGCTCAACAGGATTCTCTTCAGAGTAAATAATACATTTGTTAATTAATTGTTGAAATAAATTAATTTAATTAATAAAATTAATTAATTATAAATTATTCATGCATTTGTTTGTTTTGTTTAAGAATTAAAAAATATAGCATTAAAAAATACATGAATTATTATTATATCTTTATATTATTTAATTGTAAAATGAATTGATTCAGTTAATTAATAGACCTGTTAATGCATTTATTAACATTTGTTCATACATTAGGCATTGTTTAACCCTCGAAGCAGCTTTTCAAAAAATCAAACGGTGGTACCACGTGGAGGATTGTATCACCACATGTGTTTATAGGTCAATAATATTGGCAAGCCTGTTCATGCACAAGATATAGGTCATTCACATGGCCAGGGATTGTTTACAACCTGTCTGAGCTCTGGGCTACACGAGGTGTTGACACAAAGGGATCGGCGGCACTTAGGGCTGGCCACTAAGATCTCCGATTACTGCCGAAAGGCACTGAGCGCCATCTTGGCTTCTGTCTTTCAACACTCCTTACTCTGGAGTGGCTAGGGTCTGGCCATTGGGAGTCTACAGGCTTGTGATGTATAGTAGGGGTGAGAATTACATGGAAGCTTGGCCTAATTAAAAAAAACCATTATGCCCATATTTGGAAAAATAATGTGGACTATATAATTACCGTCTTACTGCTCGGAGGGTGTACAGCGCTTGTAATGTAATGTTAAGCATTTTTACAATTATGTGAATTATTGTTATAACGTCAAAGCTTGAAAAATCATTGTATTTACGTTATGAGCAACGGGATATACATAAGACTGATTTATTCATATTTAATGATGCGAATTAACCCTAAAGGGGGCGGGTAATGTTGACCATCTTACCACCGGGGGGGGGGGGGGGGGACGGATTCTGCCCCCCCCCCCGAGGATATCGGCCATCGAGTGACAAAAACAATATGAAACTCGGTACATGCATAACACAACTTAATATGAACAAACCCAAGAAATGCTATGACTATATGTTACAGGGTTTTGGAATTATGACTAAATAATTATTCATACGCACCAATGGTAATTCTGCTTTGTGTACACTACATATATAGAGACATTGAGTTTTCACGACGCGTCAGAAATGGTATGTTTTCGGTATAAAAAGACGCGAAAGACTCGAGGCGAAAAAGTCAGAAAAGCTCGGGTCGGGAAAAAAATTGCAAGGATAACGCGGATAAAGTTGAGAGGGGGGGGGGGGGAATTCGCCCCCTCCCCCGGCCCTTTAAGGGTTAAATGCCAATTTGTTTTTCAGGGCAAAAATACTGGAAGCTGGTCTCCATATTTGAATAACTTCAGAGAAAAATGTAGACTTTTTAAGCAACGCCGCTAGAGTCCTTATTGATTGCTAGCTTAAGTAACTCCAGCTCCAATTCTCATTAGAGCTAGAGCTCAAACTACGTTGTAGATACTAGATTCTAAGAGTATATAAAAGGAAAATGGGACTCTCTGTATCTCAAACATTGTCCTTTTCCCCTCTATTATATCAATCCAAATTCCATTCAACATAACTCATACTATGCAGCAGTTATTCACGAA